AGAAGTCTTAATGAAAAATTCAGGCTGTTCCATTCGGCTAGCATTGATCATTAATTCCGAAACTCCATCAATCTCCCGAAAAACGAAGTATTCCGTCAAAAACCCGATGGCGGCCACATGTGAACTTTAACCCGACGCGCCCCGGTCCCAAAAATTCGGTGCTCGGCATTCATGTCATTTCATTCATTTTTTTTTTTTTGGAACTAGTGTCATTAGAAATAGGACACGTGTAAGAGGGCCCGCGGACCACCCAAAATCCTCATCTTGCCCGAAAAATTAAAGCTGCAAGGGATTTTTTGTTGGCGATCCTGGCGATATTTCGAGGTGCCTTTATTTTTTGGTCTGGCATGCTTTTTTTTTTTGCAGATGGCACCTGCGGCACGCGAAAATACATGAAAGCTCGTTTGTCCAGTGTTGTAGTTATCCACTGTATACTCGGCTTACTAACGAGGGTCGCTCTCGCCTATAAGCTGCCAATTAACGAGCTATGAGTACCATGCGAGAGATCGGCCATCAATTAGTTTAAATTCCCTTTCGTACTCCACCTCCACGTGAACGTTGAAATACATACCCTTTGTAATCTACCGAGAGTTCGAGAGCAGGTGGCTAAGCCCCGGCCGTTGGCCAGATTTGGCAATTCCCTTGATCACGAAACTCGTCGGTTTGACATCCCAACTGTTTCGGCAACGCTATCGAGAATATTTGAGTGATTTTAATGATCCCGATTATTGGTACGATAGTCAAAAATAATTATCCAAGCGATAGGATTCACGCGCGTCGCGCAAATTACTTGATAAAACCTCTCGCCTTATTAAATTAATTGAATCCCAATTAATTAACATGATAACATACCACACTGGGTGACCATCATCAGCGCTGATTGGATAGGTTACGCAATTACCCGACTGTTTGGTAATGATCGAGTCGCTACAGCCTATAATGCTGGAAGATAAAGTTTGGACGAGGGAATGATGGACAGAAATTTTCCATCCATCTTTTCGCATCCAATAACTTTTCCAGAAATTATTTTTCCATTGAAATTATAGAGAGATTATTATCGAGACATGGACAAGGAAAATAAACGGGAATATTTGGAAAGATGCCGCAATGATGCAATTTTGTAATCTGTGATTTCTACTTGTTTTCGGTTATCAGAGATTTTTGTGAAATCTTTCGCGGGTACGGCCCGTACACAATTTTTATATCCCCGCATCCGAATTTCGCAGCATTTTGCACCCCGAAAAATCCTTTCCCCCGTCTCCAGCGATTCTCACTGATATCACAGAAGAGCCAGAATTGATAAATATGCGTTGGTAAGGAGAGGGTGGTAACAGCGATGCGTGTCTCCGGCACGCTTAGACTCCGCCTTCTGCATTTGCCCCGCGGCGATGCGTGCGGTCACGTATCGCTAGCAGATACCAACACCGCGGTACATCATCCGACAAAAATCTCCTCAACCCGACTCGACATGTGCCTCCCCCACCCGTCGCGCGACAAGCCACCCTGTGCCTCCACCGAGCCCGGGAAAAAAAAAATCCTTAGGAAGGAAATTGCTGGAAAAAAGTGCCTTGGCCTCCTCCAATCGTCCACTAATTACTCGCGAGTTACGATAATGCACGTACCCCGCAGCGATTTATCGGTTTAACGATGTCTGGAATTTCTGGAAATTAGATTCTACGATTTCATACACCCTAAAAAAAAAAACTAGCGTACCCCACAATTACACCTGCTTCCTGCATTATAACATCCAAACCGGATTATTCATACAATTCCCCGATGTTTTTCGTTGACTCCTTTGTTTAATTCCAATTGTTTTAATTACAAAATCTCTCCGGGCAATTTAATTTCCGCTAATGATATTTATTCATCAGCCCAACGAGGCGGGCTTTTTTTTCCAGCCCCGGAGGCTGGTTATTGGCACGAGCCAGTGGAGATGCAACGAAAAAAAAAAAACATCATCCAACGTTTAACCAGCAATTTTAGTCCTGGTTGTACCAGCGTGACACTTTTCGAGACTATTACGTTGACTCGAACCAGCAGGTGCAACATCGCTCACTGTCCTCCAGCTATGCATTCAAGTACTCCTGGCTCTTCACTCCTCCCCCGAGCACCGGCGTTGTTTTTTCACCCACAAAAATCCCTCCTCCCGCAGTTCTAAACACTTGGAAGCACCTCGAGCCACTAATTAGCCTCGGACATTGCGCGCCACTGCGGTCCGTGGAATCCGCAGTTGTTTGTCAACCGCGCGAGACCTCTGTGGTGCCTCCTCCCTCGGTTTTTCGACGGTTCCTCCCTTTTTTTTTTATTTTCTGCCCTGTGAGTCCCTCTTTGTCCCTCTCCAACACCCTTGAACACAGCGAGCCTCGCGCACGCGTATCTTTTCATTTTTCTCGCCTTGAAGTTCAAATTATTACCGGAATAGAAGGTGGCACTTGTTCCGGTGCATCTGAGCGTGATGTTGGCGACGAGTGGCTCTCAGTGAGCTTCCTGTCGACGTATTTGGATTCTTTCAACGTGTTTTATTCTCCGAGTCAAACGAGCCTGATCAATACTCCAGTCTCTCACGAAACGGCATCGAATGAGGTCTAAAATTGAAGTTGCGGAGATGGGAGATGGTAGATGGCCGGAGGAGCGTGAAATCCAATCGTATAGGGGACCACTTATTCCTGAAATCAATGAGACGTGAGGATCCTCTGATACTGATGAGAAAATCGAGAAAAATGAGGGAAAGGGGGGAAGAGGAGGGATGAGGGATCGGTGACGAGGATGTCCAACCCCGGATCGGTCCGCACTGATAAGGAAGATGATCGATGCCCCTGGATCGGTGACAACGAGACACGCGTGACGACAAGGGTTTCAAATGAATTCGTGGGTTTCGAAAATGAATTGGGACTTTGGACGTGTTCTCGTGGGCTTGAGGCCCCGGTCCATCGCGGCGTGAGATCGATTTAACCTGTTGACGCCCACCCCCGGATGCCTCTGGAGCATCGATGTCTCTCTTTGACCATCTGTCATCCACAATTTCGTTGGGAACAGCCACCCAAAATATGAGACTAGATGATAAGTCCGGGGAGATTGTGATTTATGCTCCGCAGAGGATTGAAATGCAGTCGGAAATCAATTTTTTTTTCCATTCAGAAGAGGAGGGAGGACACTGATGCTGCGGCTTAAAAAAAAATTGAAATCGCCGTTGCACAAACATTGAATCGAAAATGCGATGTTGAATCGAATTCTGTGTAGAATGAATCCATTTTTAAAAAAAGCATGTACTGTTTTTTTCACCTTTTTTCGGCGCACAGCTAAGCTATGCATATGATGCTATATATACATATAATATAATATAATATAATATACAATTTTAATAAAATAATGACTTTTATAGGATAAGAAAAAAAATATTGTACCTATCAATTGAATTTAATTAAAGAAAAAAACATAAATTACGGATAATTTTTTCAGATATTCAAGATTCTTTGAATATTGAGATTTTACACTAGCCTCTTTAAAAAAACCTCAGGGTCTTGATAGCCTGAACAAAATTTTTCTGAATGCACATTTCACAAGGGAATTAAGCAGTTAAAGTGTAATTAGAAATTGCTCCAATTCTGAAAAACGTAATTGATAAATTCAAAACCATTAACCTGAGTAAATAGACATTTGACAGCAAAGGTGACTTCAAAAGGGCGACTACTGAATTAATGAGGAATAGAGAAAGTCAATGCTAACAAGTAAAATGTATCGAATATACAGAAATCCCCCACCCAGTGTTCATCATTCATCCCGTCCAATACTTGAGGGATAACAACTGAGTGAATCGCTGGTCTCCCATTCATGGTGGCGTTTCCCTCGTCGTCGGCTAATTAAGATGGTTGGAATTGAACAACGTACCGTGTACGTGGGAACACGGTTTTGTATGCGCTATGGGTATTTCTCGGTTAAGTTGAATAAAGTACAGTGGCTGTGAGAGGATGAAGGAAGGTAGAATAGAATGAGGTAAGGCTGGTGGTTGAAGCAAATTGTACAACATAAATATCGTACGTACCTTGGGATGCGTACGTACGTGGAAATGCTGAGCTATGCGTCTTCGCTACATTACACGAGAATTCACGGTAAAGCATTCTAACGCTTTGCTGACTCGCGCGGCGTTTCCACCTTCATACTGTACATATATTTCCAAAGGAGCATCACAACCAGAGTTGAGAAACTTGAGGAATCAGCTACCGTCGGCGGTTAACCCTTTCCCTCAACCCATCCCTCCCACCAACGAGCCCAACGTGTACAGAATGCAGACGCCGGATAATCGCTGTTGGAGATCGAAGAGAAGCTACCGAGATATGTGGCCATCATCCACGACATCTTGCTAGTCAATGTTGTTGAGTTATGAGGCGGATTTCAAAGCCATTCCCCTTTGTAATGCTCAGCTTAAAGTCCAGCAGGCAATATGTTACGCTACAGGAGAAAACAGGGGAAGCTGGAGGGGATATCATGGCAAAAAGTCTGTGTTTTTTTTCAATGTACACCAGTGGACAAGTGTCCTGATGAAAAAATGAGGATTTAAAAAAAAAAAAAAGATATACACACCTTGTGATGTTGCACATAGTGCGAAACTCACGTTTTGCCGGACATATATGTAACAGTTAATCCAAGAAAATAGGTACAGTGACTTTCTACTTGCTCCCCATCGTGATATCGTCCCATACTTGGCCAACTCGGCTCAAGTTTCACCTTCTTGTCCCTTTGGAGCAACTGATGAAAGAGCATCTTGATCCATCGTTTCTCGATCTCATTTTTCTCTCGGTTATTCTTTTTTTGGGGCGGCCGATCGACGTTGCCTGCAAGTTCTTCGTAGTCAAACGACTTGATTTATTCGATTGGCCAAAGAAACTGTTTCTTCGATTCTCCAAGGAGTTGTAGCGACTTACATCGCAGAGGGATAAGAAAGTGGTGAGGGTTTAGTTTTTGTTTTTCGAGGAAGAAAAAAAACTTGAGTGGAATATTGTCAAAATATATTCAATGAAAAAAGTCATTTTGTAAAATTATAGGCAATCGATCGATTTACAAGGACAATAGATAGGTGGTTTGTTTTTTAAATGATTATGATCATTATCATTATCTCGAGCTAAACGACCGCAACCTACTGCAATACATCCCCCCTACGATCTTATTAGAATTCTCGTGTGTCTTTGTAGTTGTGTACTGAAGGAACATATCATAATTCACCAATCTGCGATATTTACAAATACACTGACTCACTTTAGCTAACAATGAAATTTCACTGGCTGGATAATCCTTACAAATAAATATATCGAGATGAAATGATCCTCATGTCCTCGCACTATTCTTTCAGTTGAAACTGCCTGGAAATGTGTTTGATCCATCAATGCAAATAAACAACACTGCTCTCACCACAATTACTCAAGTTTCTACAAATAAATACATATAATCCTCATTGTATCTATAGTACAGAAGACGATAACCTCGTCACTTTATTATAATAAATTCATCTTTCTCCACATATATATATCTCTCATATAAGCTATGTCTTAATATACAATTCACATACGACTACACGCACTATTCTATTAACGGGCAGTAATGCGTATGTTGTATTTTACAGATGATTCCCCAGGACTCTGAATAAATATTCACATCACCATTCGTCCTGCGAGTCCATGGGGAATGATTATTAGACAGCCGTAACGGGACCAGGTCCCACAATAGTCTCTTACCAGTTTTTTTCATTATTTATTTTTTTTTCATTTGAAATATTTTTTAGCGAAACCAATGAACGACGACAGATCTGTTAAACAGGTACGAAATCACGCGCAATCCAGTGAGCCAAGAGATGCGGGACTGTGAGGCCCACCCATCATGAATTGTGGACTCATCGGTGGTCCACCACTTCCCGCACTATTTCCGTAAAGTTCTAGGTCATTGAGTGATCCACCATCAACACCACCGCACTTGTCGGATTTGCCCTCCTGTTTGAGCACCATGCGCCGCCATTTTGCGCGTGCGTTCTGAAACCACACCTGGTGGACAAACAAAAATTGTACAATTAGAATAATTAGCCGGTTGATTGACCACGGCGGATCAATTTGTCTGGCGTGTAATGAGGTGAACAACGAAAAAAGAAGAGAAAAAAAAAAGATTGAAGAATAAAAACAGCGGAGAGGAGATAAAGAACTGCTGAGAGTGTTGTGACCATGCGAAAGAACTCGACAGTCATTGGGCTCTAGTTAGTGTTTTTTTCCTTATACACCTTGGGATAATTAATTCACAGTTAGCTGTCGCGTTGAGCTCAATCTGACCTTCGGGGCAAAACAAGGATTGACGGGTAACGCGTGAACACTAACTAGTCAACCAGTGTAAACACACCACCATAATCGGCGTTGGCGTGATAAATACTATCAGACATCCGGCGAACAACTGATTTCACTGGTGTATCGAGTGTGAAAATAGATTGAGGATAATGAGAAATTGAAATAAATTAATGATACTAAAATGGAGCATGGACAAATGGAGGATGGGCTCCACCATTTTCGTTATCACTATCATTTCTTTCGTTTTGCTCGAGGGGAACAGTCTCCACCCCTCTGATGAATTCTCCAGAGAATCCCCAACGGGAGCTCCACGGACGAAAGGACGAGCCAACAACGGGGGAAAAAGGAAAGTTGAACACAGCAGGCGGTGGAAAGAGGCGAGTATTCGCGCGTCTCGCGATCAATATCAACCAAGATGGCGTACACTCCCAAGACCCCTTCGTTTCTGCGCCAAATACAATAGGTGTCTCCCTCCTTCCCCTCATCACCGTCTCCATCGTCTCCTCGCAACCCACCACTTTCCACTCTCTGACTCTCCCCCTTTTTCTGTCCTCCATACCTCCTTGGATTCTCTCATTTCACCTCCCTTTTTTTCTCATCTACATTCATCCAGCAGGTGCTAGACTATGTATCTTCATGACTGGAGTATGAGAATCCCCAGACTCAAGAACAACTCCCACAATAATGAAAAGCGCGCACTCCCGAGAATAATTCCCGTTATTTTTCTCTGAATTTCCCCAACAAGTCGACAAAAGTCCCCCCCTCGTTTCTTTATCCCCGACGATGACGAAACCTGTCGAGATCTCTTTTGTCTCCGAAGTGACAAAAAAAAAAAAAAAACGAAAATGAAAAATGGAGACAGCCGAGTGAAAAACGTGAGATTCATCTTTCTTCGGGCTGAAACCTCTCCGCTCTCTCCTCATGTTCTTCCCTCCCCACCCTCATTTTTTTCGTCAGCAGAATGATTTATATATTGGTGTGTAAATGATTTTTTTTTTCTGCCCTCATAATAAGAGAAATGTGGCAACAGTAACAGGGGCACACATCGTTTTAACGAGGTTTAGAGAAGCTGCACCTCTCTCTCATCATCATTCTGTTTGGAGGCTACTGTTGGGGGCCATACGCAGTGCCGACGTAGAAACGCGGTTAACGAAGGAAAGCAACGGCGTCGACGGAAATATCACGAGGAGGGCAGCCGTTCCGCGTGGACCGGGACGCACTAATTGGGAGTGTTGCTATATACACGCGTGCCCACAACGTATCTCGCCCCGTGAATATATTTTTACAGGGTCGAGACTCCTTTTTTCCCCGAGTTCTCGTTGAAGAAACGACGTAAAGAGAATGAAAGCTCCGGGGGAGGGAAAAAAAAATATATGAAAGATGAAGGGAACAAGAGGAGGTAAGAAATCTCGAGGGCAAAAAAATTTAAAGAAACCCCACGACATTCCCGCTCTCGATTCCTCCGTAGCGTTACGCTTCGACTCTTTTCATCATCCTCCAGTACTCAATTTCTTCTGGGCCCAACTGAGCTGTACACCCAGTGGACAATAATTCACCCGGAGGAATAATTGTCAAGGCACTTCAGCAGAGACACCGTCGACAGACATAAAACCCCACTCGAGACAAAGTTTGTCCCTCGTTTCGATTGGAACTCGAAGGGAAACAAGCAGTTTGAGGTACAGAAAATCTCAGCTTGTCAAAGTGAAGAGATAGCGTACAAAAATTGTTGGGATAAGTTGTATCTGTGGCTTTACTAATGGATAGAAAAAAAAAAATAATACCGCTCACCTGTAGTACCCTCTTTGGCAATCCGGTCTTCTGGGAAAGCTGCTTGAGATCCTTCGCGTCGGGATTGTGATTGATGGCGAAGTAACTCTTCATCGTTCTCAACTGATGATGCTTGAAGCTCGTTCTCATGCGTTTAGTTCGGCTATTCGATCCAGGCATACCCGGTGTACCAGGACCTCTACCAAATGGCATATCAATGTAATCCGAGTTGAGGTCTGCAAATAAAGAGAATTGCGCATTAAAACAATTGCCAGGGGTAAATGCCTTATTCATCAGGATTACGGGAGACATAACGTTGCATTAGAATAATTGACACGTGACTGATCAGCCTGAAGGACATTAAGATGACCAGCAGTGGCATTCCTTTTCCTGCAGTTATATCGCATGCTTACAAACTATCCAGACCTAACATAGAGTTGTAATTGGTCGTGTATACTCGACTCCGTGCATACTCTTTCACTGGCCATCACCCTCCCTTCCTCCCTCTTTTGGCCTTCCTCGTTTGCACTCTCGAGGAGCTAATGAGCCGTGATACGCATCAAACAGCGTTAGGAGTCGACTTTAAAACCATAGTCTTCTCCCATAGCGTGTTTGTATACGCCCCGACCACCGACGGACATCTCTACCTCCTGCCAGCCCAACAGCTCAACAGCTCAACAGCTCAAATCACATTTGCCCATTATGTAATTGATGATGAAAAATCATGGAATCGAATTGTGATCAATCGAATTCTTTTCCCAAACGCGACACTGTTACATCAGACTGTTCCATTCCTGTTATCCCCATGCGAATCCGATCAGAGCTCCACTCATGATAATGCATCAACGCCATTCGGGTTTTACCTGAATTCTGGTGCAAACGCTTTCTCAAATCACCAAAGTGGCGATTCTTACATTTCCAAATCGGGCCACACTCGACATTCGCATCACGCAGACAGTTGTTCAACGAAAAGAGACGTTTGGAGTTGGGTAAAATCGTTGTACCTCCTTGATACGTGTTGTGCCCCGCGAGAAAATCGTTTAGAGAGGTGTGGAAAGCCATTGTTTCCCACGGTCAGTTGCGAGAACAGGTTTGAAGATTGAATTTTCGAGTGGCTACGGCCCACGTTGGGGCACACGGCCACAGTGATAAAATGAGAGAAGAGTGGCCAGTGGAATGGAGAGAGCTCGATGAGGAAGATGGAAGGAGGATGGAGAGCCCTGTTGGATCGTACCCGTGAATTTATGTCGACTGGACAAATTTTATCAGGGTTCGGTGGCAAACGCCGAACGCCCACGCTTACCGTAAATCACCAACGGCCCCTCACAACCACCACCAGTACATACACTTTTGCAAAACTCGAGCTACATACTGCTCAATGATAAAGCGAGACAGATGTACAACAATCCAGAGCGGTTAATGTTTCGACCTTGACGACAGCATCGGAATCACCGGGTTGTTACATAGACATGAATAACACGGGGATTTTCAGAGGGATGAGAGAATGAGAGTTAGTGGGTTGAGTGTGGAGTCTCGCCCCGTGTACCACGACTGCCAGATTGTGATCGTGCTTGTCCACGGCAGCGTAAGCCTCATCCGTGTTGTGAGAGGACAAGAAAGGGGGAAAGGATAACATGGTTCAACGGATCGTCCGATGGAAAGCGATTAATCAAAGAACCAAATCAACTGATTTCAGTCCTCAACCGGTCATCTGTATTTGTTCAGTGGTTTACTGGTGACAAACCATGACATCCGTCATTATCCACAAGCAGCGCGACGCTCTCTCACTTTTCCTGCATCTCTGCGGCCACCGTATAACCACTCAACCGTAGACGATTGTCTCAATCCAATCGGAAAACCAACATTTCGATCAAGAAGCCAGACAATAACACAAAAACCAAAGCGAAAGTGTTCTCAACACCTCGGCAGAAGAAAATTATTCAGTCTCAAACACTCCACTGATAATCAAAAAAAAAAGTCAAGAGGGAGAGATGACACAAGTACCACGAAAGAGCGACCGCTCGAAATACACCGTGGAGCAATTTTACGGACTGCCAAGTGCTGCACATAAGGAGGCAAGTTGCGTGAACCGAAGACACCTACTTTTTCACGTTCTTTTTATCTCTCTAATTCTCCCCAAGTGCAGAGTACCCTAATGTTCCGCTTTGTCTTTGGTCCCAGTGTGTCTGGGACGTGGTAATGACGCGAGTAATGTCACTCCTTTTTCATTCGTGAACACGTGCGAGTGTTGCTCTGATCGAATGGAACACCAGCCGGATAATCTACGAGGTTTACTGCAGAGATACCTCTCACCCGCAAGACTGCAATTAATACTAACTTAACATCTGAGGATCTTCCAACCGCGCTGCATTACATAATTATTTAAACAAGTACAAAAACACTTGATCGATCGTTTGAAATGCAATAATTCTCTCATTGGCCCTCTGACATTGATTTTCAATCTCGATTAATCTACTGCAAAAATGATGACATCATCCTCACAAATGAATAAAAAAAATGTAAACTCACCAAGACTAGCTGTCATCGCCTCCAGATCCTTCGGCTTCCTTTTTCTGGGTCTGCCTTTTTGTCTGGGTGGAGGTACACCGGCATTGGCTCCCACTGTGGAAGCGGCACCATTGAAGTACGGTACTTTAGGTGGTGAACCAGCATCAGGCCCAGACGGTGTTGACGGCTGCAGGGGAACGGGACTTGCGTGTGTCAACTGGTGTGGATGCTGTGGATGCATCGAATGATGTGTATGCCCTGGTATATGATGTGGCTGATGGTGAAGAAACTCGGGTGATGGAAATGACTGACCAGGATAATGCGGACCCGGTGGATAAACTGGTACTGGTGGACTCTGAGACGGATGCAACTCAGCACCCATCTCATAATGCAAACGACAGAGCACAGCACCATCTCTCATACCAAAATGATCACCCTTTGTCAATGGTACAGTGCACGCTGCGCAGGAAAAGCATCGAACGTGAAACACGAGTTCTCTAGCTCGCATTACCAATTCCGAAGCTAAAATAGCGGCTTGACATCTTGCGCATCGCTTCATGCTGCCGAACATTCTGAAATCAGAAGAACAAAGAATGTTACAATGTCGACGTTACAAGAGTCCCGTATCATACTGGGTGACATTGAAAGTATGGTGTAGGCGTTTGTAGATAAACGTGAATTCGTAATAAGGCACGTTCAAGGCAGGCATTTCCCACAGATGTTGTTAGAAGAGTGGTTTGGAGAGAAAGAGAGAGAGAGAGAAAGAGAGAGAGTGAGAGAGAAAGGAGGTTTGAAAAAGAAAGCGACGATCGATACGTATATTCGAGTGATATCAGTAACCAGTGGCGGTATACTGGAGACAAGCGGTATAAACAGGCGGAAGGGAGGATATCAACGATACACGAGAACTGGCCGACATCGCTACTGCATTAGCGGCACCCTACAGTCTCCATTACGAACGGCACAAAGGAAGAATCCTCTATCTCTTGAGATATCATTCTGGCTACCTACTCCCTGGCCTATCTCAGCGTCCAAATATATTGCAGCTTTCGACGGCCTCAACTAGATGGAGACGTGCCCAATCTTTATAAAGCCGGGGTGTTATTTTTCGGTCCTCTACCCAGGTAAGAGGCGTTTACAGAATCATTTGGAAAAATAACACAGCTGTCAACATTGTGAAAGATTAGCTCCTAACGACTCTGAGCTCTCTTGACTCGTAACACACGGTTCAGCCATACCTCATTGTCATCATTCTCAATCCCGTCAATGCGCGGTCCGTTACCCTCGGTCCAGGAGGTCGTGGTTGGATTTTTATTTTTTTTTTTTTTTTTTTCTTTTTCCGACTAATCGTATCCGACAGAATTACGCAATCGCCCCGAGTCCAGTCGCTGGTCATAACCCCAGTGTTGCAAACCTGCAGATAGAGCAGCACCTATTGCCTCTTTCTTTCCATTCATTTTTACCCCCTATTCCTTTCTTTTTCCCTCCTTCCCAAAGACCCAAACGATGAATGAGCGAACCCGGGAATAACCTCATTCAGATGTTTCGTTGCGGATGCGGTTGCCTGCAGGGGCGACCCGCTGAGTTTTACAACTATCGCCATATGCGTTACATTATTATACAACTTGTGGAGCCTCAGCCCCTTCATCTCTCTCACTCCCCCCTTCTCTCTCTCTCTCTCTCTCTCTCTTTCTCCCGATTCTAGCGACTGAAGCCTTGGCAGCAACAAATCTCTCACAAAGACTTTGAGAATCTTTTATAACAATCAAAGGAGAGGCGTGTTGTGAGGACCACTCGCCGAGCATTCGCACACTATTAATGTTTCATTCCTCACCAAAATCTCACGTTGTAGCACGTGGTGTGTCACCGTGCGGGGTGTGTCCGCAGGTTTCTTGTTCGCGGGAATCTCAAGTGAACCATCTAGAATTTCAAAATTCCAGATTGTTCGTAATCATGTTGTGGCAATATTTATTCCATTCCATTCTCCAGTTTGATGTTCCAAAGAGGGACTTTTTATTTGGACTTTTATCATATTTTAATGTGAGCTTGTAACACGTTTTATTTTTACGAATTATGCAGCATCCACCGGTTGACTGTCGCACGTATGCAGTTGGGACACCGCTGGGCGTGGGATGCAGTACGTGACTGCTACTCCCTTCTTGATCGCCCTCTCCCTCCCTGCATTAATCTAGATCATGGCATTATATTACCAGCATCTTCTTATTGGCATACCGTGTCCCTAAAGCGTTGCACGACATTTTATTTTATTCCCATTTGAGATACGAGCCGGTCCGAGCACTCAATTCTCCCCAATATTTTTCCCTCCAACATCTACCAGTTAATTCTTGGATCGATGAACCAGCCCTCAGCGAATAATATAATTTTGAAATAGTACCGGAGGATTTAGAGGAGAATATATAAAATATTCACGCATGGTCAGAGCATTCCGCGCCCTGTCTCCTCCATCTTCTTATCGCCCGACGTCCAAGAAAGGGGGAAGGTTATTCGCGATGCATTTTAATTACAATTCCCCGGGTTATTTCACCTCCCTCCCTCCCTCCCCCCGTCGTGGTACCTCTTTCTTGCCACTGGTCTTCCTTATCGAAGAAATAATAATTTACAGTGTCGGATCCACAGAGGGCCACAAATGCGTCATCCCGGTGGAGAACGGTGGGGAACAAGTTGGAAAATACAGTACCAGTGGTGGTTGTTTTAATCATGTACATATACGCGGGGGAATAGCAACTACCACCGCGTGTCCTCCCAGGGTTCAGACATTTGCCGGCTGACTAATGCGACGGCAACACGACATCGTAAAGTGCGTTTGGGATCTGTATCGCGTAGCAAGTATCATAAGAACTTCTCTTTTTATAACTTCTGTGTTGAGCCTTTAATCCCAACGACTTGTATCGGACTGATATTTCTTTTATTTGTGGTGAGAAAAATTTTTCACTTTATCAGCAACTCGCCCTCCAGCAATCCAGGGCTTTTTCCACGCATTGCGCAAATATTCGCGCGTGTTTAGATTTATAAAACACTTGGTATAACGTGCAGTGTGCTTTATAAGGCATAAACCCGAGGTAACCCGATACTTTTTAGCGAGAGTTGTTTATGGTGGTGACACTCTTGCAATATTTGCGTGAACAACGGAACGAGGTGGAGGTGAACATGACCTTGCGACTGGGTGTTTGTCCCCAGACCCGCCCTCCTGGGGAGATACGCCGAATTGCCATGACACCACCATGAGCAATGATCGCGGGCTAATAAACAAGCAAAAGAACCATCTCAGAACTTGAAGGAGGTAAGAACGTAGGGAGCCGCTTCTCTCATACATTCCATATGGAAGAATGTCCAATAGAAATTACGTGACCAGATGGAATCTAGATGTTAAATCGTCATTCAACACTTTTTAACTCAAGAAATATAAAATATTGAGGAAATTAAACATTTTCACGTCTCTCCGTAACACTCCCGTGAACAAGACATTTTAATGGTGACGAGTCTTAAGTGAATTCCATTTTCTAATTTATTTATCTTTACGGCAATTTTCTGATGCACTCTCATCTTTAACTTTGACCTTCCGTAATTTTTCCGAGGCCCTACCTATTCTTCACCTATTATTCATTACTATTACTCTTTCCACCACATGCTTTTATCATTAATATATTTTTTACAACATAACGCAGGGGGAATAACCATCAATCAATCAGTTTTCTTATTAATCACTCGAAGTTGTTCAGATGTCGTTTTCTCGTCAACATACAAAAAATGCCGTATATTTCATTAAATCTTGAGTGAATTCCGAATCTTTAGCAAGTCTTTAATAGCTGCAATAATTTGTCCCATTTTGATACCTTGGGTTGAGTAAACGACACGGAATAGATCTGACCCAGAGTTTTCTACACTGACTCAGTAAACGTGCGTGAATTTGTGGAGCCATAAATTAGCCGAAATGAGTGTGTTAAATATGTTCAATGGAAACGGTGGGATAAGTTACGGTAACATTGGCATTATTTTATTTGACGATTCGTAGAAAAGCGCCGTCAGAGCCGGCAGTAAAGTCAACACTCAACACAAGCCACCAAAATGGTGGTGTTTATGTGCCTGGAGAATTCGAAGCAGATTGTTCGCGCAAGAATTTGAATCGGACAATGAGGCGGTATGCGTGAGACTGGCATTATGTACACATGTTGTGCTTGTTCTTCTCGTGGTATTTCTCCCAGTGGTGATCATGCAGATGATGCATGACCACTGCTGGCTGCAGGTGTCGTCCGTACAAATGCGTTCATCGGACTATCTCACGAGATCTACTACATCGCGATACTGGGCCAGTCACCTCCCGTAGTTATCCCTATCTGTATTCAACCCAGTGAGATATTAATCACTCGGTATTTTTTTTCGTTTTCACTATCGTCTTTGTTTCATCGTTGCAGGCCTCAAACACCCTGTACACATACTCACGACGGATTATTGTGACTGCAGACACTTGGACGTACTCGGGGCCAAAGAGTTGGCTGAAAGAATCTGAAAAAAATACAGCGACATCGTGGCGGCTACCGATGATGCATGCCCCCGGGTGTCAGCTCTGTCACGGCACCGCGGTGGTATTATGTTACCCAGCTACCTCGGCAGGGTCGTGACTCCGTCATATTTATGTCCGTGGCTACTTTTTCCACCGAAAATCCCGACGGGAGGCCACACGGGATACCCATGGAATCCCCTGGAATTTTTATAGACTACTTTCCTTCACTCCAACGGTCATTGAATAAAATACCCGTTCTCCAAAGACACTGCACCGTTCACCATTTTGGATTAATCTTACCGCACACATCTTTGACATTCTTTCCTGGTGACAGTTCCAATGAAATTCTCGGGAATTTTAATTGATGGGGAGTTGATGAGAAAATTAGTAGACCCTGGGATGTTTTCTGAAATCAAAAAATCTTCGTCCTATCGGGCATGGCGAGCCGAAATCTTTTCGTGCCGATCGCAATCCAAGAGATTTCCAGCTTTTCCCAGTGGTGTGGTCTCAAAGCAAATCACGAAGACTCGAGCCTGATAGTTTAATGGGCAGCCGTCAACATCGTTTCCACCGTGATACGTTTCAAGACTGCGGTATTGGGTTGCTCTCTCGCAGAGCGCGCAGCATCTTAATTATGAGTGTTAAATTATGAGCAAGCTTCTGGGCGCTGAAATATTTGTGCGTTCACCCACAGAGACGTCCATAGGGGGTTATAGCTCAATTACCACTGGCTGCTCTCTTGGGTTATAGGCGTTGATTTAAGACGAGCTCACTGCCCCGCCAGAATTGCCCACTCGCGCCCCTCTCAGTCCCAATGGGGATTTATAACCTTCCGCTTCCCTGACATTTTTCACCTCAAATTACCACCGCTCCCAGATAAAACCAGAGTAGATTTGATGGTGTACACAGCATTAATGTTCCTGGCGGGCCAGGTGAAAAAAAAATGAATAAAATACTTGCGTTTTGCTGGTATGTGTCATGGGAACAAGAGCGCGGGACACTTTAGTTCTCCCGCGAACAAAAAAAAAAATAAATAAATAAAAATGAAGC